TCAGGTCTCATCAGGACTGGCTATATTGTCCTCCTTGGTGGCCTGGTAAGGCTGCTACCCCCTCAGGGGGAGGTGATCAAAAAGCCAGCCACTGAGTTCATGTCAGAGACAGCCCCTGTTCCTGTACTCACTGGAGACTGAGATGCCTTAGGCTACATCTGTGCAGGGGTTCTAGGTTATCTCCTATGCATGGACCTTGGTTAGAGTATCAGACTCAGAAAAGTCACCTGGGCCCAGATTTTTTGGTTTTTGTTGCTCTCCTTGTAGAGCTCCTGTCCCCTCCTGGTCTTTCTGTCTCCCCTTTCTTTCATAAGATTCCCTGCACTCTGCAAAAGTTTGGCTGTGAGTCTCAGCATCCGCTTTGATACCCTGCTGGGGTAGAATGTGCTTAACTATGTTTATAGCAGCTTAATTTATATTAGGCAGAATCTGTAAACAACCCAAATTTTCTTCAACTGAGGAATGGATGCAGAAATTGTGGTATATTTACACAATGGAATACTACTCAGCAATTATAAACAATCATGAAATTTGAAGGCAAGTGCTAGGAACCAGAAAAGATCATCCTGGGTGAGGTATCCCAGAAGCAGAAAGACACACGTGGTCTATACTCACTTATAAGTGGATATTAGACATATAATATAATATAGGATAAACATACTAAAATCTATACCCTTAAGAAGCTAAGCAAGAAGGAGGACCCTGGGTAAGATGATCAATCCTCATTCAGAAAAGCAAACAGGATGGACACGGGAAGAGGGAGAAAACAGGAAATTGACATGTATCCTATAAATACACTGTGTTCATGACTAAAATTTTTTTGGAATTTATCTGTGAAGTCACAATATTTGTCAAATGACAATTCTGGACTCACAGTCTATTTTTGTGAAAGGTCTATTACTCTTCAATAATTAAGCTAGTCACATTATACTGACATTCCATTTATGCTACTTTAAAATTTTTGTACTATACCTTTCATTTACATTATTTTATATATGTAGATTCATAACACATTATTTTATGATGACATTCTCTTTCAGAAAAATATTCTTGTCAATTTTCAATTAATCATTTGTATTTAAAACTGACATACCCTGTTCTGAAATACAAAATATGACTTGTTCTGTCTTTTGATAAGTTTACATTAAAACTGTACATTAATTTTATATTTTAATGATAAATAGAGATGTTTAAGTAAAATATGTATGTTGTTTGTTAAAGTCTGGTTTTGTGAGTTTTAGGACTATTTTATAATTTTTTAATTTAAATTTTCATTTTAGTGGTGAGCGTAAATGAATAATAGTAATAATCCTGCATCAGTGTGGTTTTGTATATTTATTATTTTCATATAGCTTATGTATATGTAATTTCCATATTTGAGTGCAATAATTTGTTATTGATTTTTCTGAATATTTCACAAATACAGTAGCATTAATCATTTTATTTTTTTATTAAAAAATTAACCCAGTATATATTATTTGCTTATTTGCCTAGTCACTGCATTTGTGAACATGTCTGAGTTTGTGTGTTTATGTTTCTGTGTATGTTTGAGTGCTGAGACAGAATTTCAGACAGCACAAACAGCCCAGAAATCACTGCATTTCCCTGAGAGGGTTTTGTCTCCTGACCCCATTCCTGCCTTCAGTTCCACTGCAGCAGGTTTGCAGAGCAGTGGCTTGTCATCCAGCACTTACTTGGGTCACATTGGAATCAGAAACTGTCCTGACATTCTCTAGTAGGCTATTTGTCTATCTTCCTAAGAGCTATGTCTTTTCTCTTATTAAAAACATGTGATCTAATAAATACTTTACAAACTCCTAATTTATCAGGAATAGATATTTATCATCAAATACATTGTAGGTATTAGTGATAATCATAGGTTCTATTCCTAGGTATCATGATATGCAAATTTAATTTTTACAAAATTTCCTAGTCTTGAAACATTTTCACACTTTTAGAATTACCACATTTGTTAAGGAGAAAGACTATTATTATTTTCACTGGTGAATATTATTTATTTTCACTTCATTTTTAATCTTTCATCAATATTAACCTACAATTATCAGTTGTGTGTATACATCTTCAAATAGTCAAGGTTTAGAAGAATTTACTTTTGAAGCAATTGTGTCAGCTCAGTAAGTCTTGCACATAAAAAATTCTATTAAAAAAAGGACTTTGCAGCCAGCCCTGAAGATACCTGATAAAACAGGGTCAAATGAAAGGGGAGGAGGTCCTCTCCTATCAGTGGACTTGGAAAGGGGCAGGGAGGAGACCAGGGAGGGAGTGTGGGGTTGGGGAGGGAATGAGGGAGCGGGATACAGCCGAGACACAGAGTTAACAAAATGTAACTAAAAAGAAAAATAAAATTAAAAAAAAAAGTTTTTAAAAGCTCATGGTTAGAAATAGTCCGTGTTCCCCTTACTTTGGAAAACTACTTGGTTACTGAGCTACCACGGGCCACATCCGAGCAGAAGTTCTAGGTTATATCCATAGATGGTCCTTGGTTGAGTGTCAGTCTCAGAAAAGACCCTGTGCCCAGATATATTTGGTCCTTGTAGAGCTGCTATCCTTTCCATATCATACTAACTTCCCTTCTTTCATATGATTCCCTGCACTCTGCCGAGGGTTTGGTTATGAGTCTTAGTGTCTGCTTTGAAACACTGCTAGGTAGAGTCTTTCAGATGCCTTTTGTGGTAGACTCCTGTCATA